AGTAATCTTTTTGGCGTTTGTGAAACAGAACTGACTGCGATCGGGCGAAGCTGCTATCGTAAGTTAAGCAACATATTATAAAAGAGCATGTTGAGGCCCTTTACCACAAGAAGATACCCAAGAAAGAAAGCAAGCCCAGAGATGGCAGGCACGAATACAGTCCAGTTGCCTTGTAAAATAACAGGCGTCTGCGAAGTCACATGACTAAAGCAGTGGTGGTACATGCAGATGGGTTAATGAACCAGAAGCCTCAAGCTGTGAAAAGGGGACGACTGGGTTATTGGGCGTGAATCAACACGATTTACTGTCCTAACATCAGCTGGTAAACTGATGGCCAAAACTCATTTCCGCTGGGGTTAAACCCGTGGAGAAGTGCAGAGTAGACCTGTAGACCAAGATGCAAGCCCATAGAGCCTCATGTGACCATTCCCCTGAGGGTGATGGGTTGTGGTGATACTTCTATGGTTGCCTAAAACATCAAACAGCTCCAGAAATAATGAGCTCTCAAATTGAGCACCCCGGCTAATGTGAACCTGATACGGTACCCCATGGTCTGCCACAAAACCCTTTGCAACAGACACGATATCCGCCTTCCGTAGGGGTATAGCATTTGCCCACTTGGTAAAGCTGTCGATCATGACCAGGGTATAATGGTAGCCGTTCGCCGTTTGAGGACGGACTCATAAGGTCTAGCTCAACTAATTAATTTGGGAATCCTCCAGTCAGGATTTGGAGAGATGCTCTGGTCGCACGAGTTAACGCCATTACTTCCTCACATCGGTGACAGTTTTTGCCAACGTCGTTGATATTCTCCCGCATGGCAGGCCACCAGTAACACAGACGCTCAGCCTGCTCAACTTTGGTGGAACAAGATGACCCAGACTAAGATGTAGCACCGATACAATTTACTCTACAGCGGCCCCAGGTACAGCTACGTGCAGTGGGGTACGATGGTCATAAATTTGTAGTACAGAATACCGTCTCGGAAACTAAGATTATTCCACATAGACCAGAGAACACGTGCCTCCTGCTACTACCGGCCATTTCCCTATCAATCGACTTGGGGAGCCCTTCCATTGCCTATCGTATATAAAGCTTATGTGAGGGTCTTCTGCTTGCACCACACCCCAATTCTCGACTGTAGTCTGATCCATAGAAATTGGAGATTCCGGCATCCGAGTCAAAGCTTTTGCATTCTCATGTGTTTTACCCGGGCAACACTCAATCCTGTGATTGAATTGACCTAATGCCTCTAACCACCTAGCAGTTATACCCGTTGGTTTTTTCAAACAACACAACCAGCTTAAGGCGCCACGAATTCATTCCCTGATAAGTAGTGTTTATGGCACTCAAGGAAATATTTTAAGGTTAGCAATTCTCGTTTGGTGATACTACAGTTAAAACTGCTGCCGAAAGCAATGAAATGTTCCGAATCATCAGGTTGTATCTATGAAAGCACTTTACGCATCGGTGTCCAAAATAAAAGGGGGATGGTCCTTCTCCAAATTAAGAAAGGCAAGAATCATCAACAGTATAGGGGATCAAGCCAAAACCTGAAGACAGCTTTCCTCCGGAAAAAAGAGGCAGTGTAGTGACGTATGAGGGCGCAGAAATATTTGACTACACCGGACTCAGCCAATTCTCTATCTTTTCGTTCGAATATCATGATAGAACGATATGCAGCCAGCGTGGAGGACTCAGATGGACGGCGCCTGACGTGTGGTTTTGGCCTCTTGTTGGTCAATTAAGTTTGTTCTGTTGTGCTAGTCTTCTTCATACTTGGGCCCAGTTATCCTACAGTGCTTTTTCTCCATGAAATGGCTTAGGTATTCTACGAGAGTACCAAATCATGGCGTGTCGCCATGCATTGTGACAACTGATCAATGTGCTCCTGTGATAGAAATATCCTGAGCTACTGCAAGGGATTACAACAGTTCCAAGTTCTGTAAATAGCTGTATAAAGGAACACACTTGCGCCAAGCGTTGATGTGTGGAATGTACTTTATAACATTTTTCTTGAATTCCCTAAAGTTTGATAAATTTGTTCCTAAATTCATGTCCTTTTTGATTCCTTTTGCTAACAAAGTAGATTCAATCGGTAATTAAGTTTAAATTTCATTATACACAGTATCATTAGCTGCACTATGAATCTTTATGCTTTAAAGCATTTAATATGATTTTATTCAAAACTGATTAAAATGCTTCTATGATTTACTTCAGTCGAGGCATCGAGGTTTCGTAAGTTTTCATCCGGTTCATCTTCATCGCTATGAAACGTTGTAGCTGTAGCGACACCTTCTTAATCCTGCAATTCTTAGCTGTCTGTGGTAGGGGGAAGTATAAGAGTTTTTCCTAAGAAAGAGCAAATTATAATAACAAACGTTTTTCTATCACTTTTGCAATCCGTGCCTCTACATAATTATGGGAATAGAACTGCAGTCAAAATGAACGTCCACAAGTGAGTTTTGGATAAAATAAGAAATCTTAAGAATATTTTACTTACATACCTATGTATAACAAGAAGCTTTTGAGTGAATACACGAAATCAAACAGCAAACTGCAAAATCATGTATGGAGTTGCTTGGTCACCATACGTTTCGTCCTCCCAATGAGTAGCAAATTAATTAAACTTGATCAGGCTGATCACGTCAAAAATCTGGTTTTTAATACTTGCTCATGCTGAAATCGAGCTTGTGAACTCACCGACACCTTTGTCGACGAACTGTCAATATTTTGTACAAAAAATTCTACAAGCACACGGTTACCTTTTAAAGTAAATGGTCTAAATCTACCATAGTCTACATCAAAATCTGTTTGCACAATGACACACAGAATCTCAAAATGGTGCTGTATAAGTGAACAAAACAAAAGTTTAGATAGACTTTTTTGACCTAAATGGATAAAACTCTACACCATGCATATTTTTAACAGCCACTTTAGAAAATGAATGAAATATCCGCGAGGATTTCCAGGAACCGAAGTACGTATTAGCTTGTAAACTTTTAACCTGACTTTTCTCGAACCACAATTTTAATTCAGATATGTTTTGAATTGGCATGAGAGAAATCTTGACCTAGCAGTGTGAATTATGGCTTGAAGAATAAACTTAAAGCAGTTATAGGTTTTAAAGTTTAGTCTGTGACATTTTTGCAGCCTTATGGCCACTTTGTTTCCTTGAGCCGGCCTAATTACTTCTCGCGTTTCGTTAACACACTAAATTCTATGTATATCACGCAATTGTGTGGGTGTGTGTATTTATTACTCGTAAATAGAGAACAATAAAAGTTTAGGGTGAACCACAGATACCAACCAACGTGTTGTTAGCTCCACAATCAATGTTAATCCGGTGATACAAGTTCAGGGTTATAAGGCCTTTGTGTGACACCACTTTCCATTCAAGCTCCAAAGTGTTTCCACGAGTTGGTAAATGTGAGTCCTTATAATTTGTAGGGATTCCACGAGTTCTCATGCGATTTGTTAATTTTAGGTTTCTCCTTCCCCTTTCTTTACAAATTAATATCAGCAAAAATCTGAAAAATCTTCAGAATAGTACTTTTAAACTAGTTATGACAATTGTATTCTGCAGCATAAACTTTTCACAACCCTGTGTAAGCTTCACCAACGTTCTTAGCGTTCTGGATGTCGTGGATCATTATTGCTCACAGCCTTAACGACCGATCATGAGCCTTTGTGCACATACCAGCTCCCATGAACACTAATGATCAAAAATCTTATTTTATTATGTCACTTCTGGTCACGTTTACATCTGAGAAATCGTGAACTAGAAGACACGTTAACGAAAAAACGCAACACCTTTGAGCCATTTACTTAATGGTAATGCCTACATTATCGCCTTTCTTAATTACCCAGTGCATCTGAATAGCACAGTTGGCGTCCCCGGTTT